TTTTTGACTAATGTTTAAAAACAGTTGTGTGGCAGAAAAAATTTATTTTCTATTGCAGATAATTTAAGTGTAATTTATACAATAATTTCAATGTATTTTTAATGTGCAGTGGCCAAAAATGGCCCCCTCCTAAACTCAAACTCTTCAAATGTCCTTAAAGATTTTTCTTTTCAATAGACCACATTTGTCTCTCTTTTCTGAATAGTTGTAGAGTTCTAAGTAATGGTCTCAAGAAGATATTTATGACAGCAGAGTTTTACATGAGGGAAATCTATGAGAAAAATATCCATATCAGTCAAATGTGCATAGTTATATAGGATATCCAGTCTGTAGTTGAATGAAACTTGTAAATCAAGAAATCATAAGCAGAGTGTTTTTCTTTATGGTTCTCTATTACAAGTAATTGGGATAATTTTTTACATGAATGTAATTTCCTCTTTGTCTTAAGGTGCTCTATCATTCTTAAAGATGCCTTTTAGGAAAAAAATAGTCTTTAAGAAGACACTAAACAAAGCATAGTTCTCCTCCATTTCTGACCATGGGTCCACATTTGGTTTATTAATAACCAAACTTTAAACTCAAGGGAAGCTCTAGGAATAGAAAGGCACCTAGCTGGATTGACATTCCAGTAGAGGGAAGAGTGGGTGCACAAACAGGACATAATGAGGCATGCGGTGGGAAAAGGATTTCCATTTTTCCATAGTGCACAGATCATTGAGGGAAGACGTAGAAGGTAGCCTAGGGCTGAATAATATAGGGCTTTGAATGCCATATTAAGGGTATTGGTCTTTATTCTGTAGGTCATCAGGAGCCATTGAATACAGATGGGCAAGTAATAGTCATTTATAATTTTTTATTGAGTTCTGTGTGCCAAACACTGATCTAGGCATTCGGGGTGCATCCCTGAAACAAACAGATGAAAACCTTGGTTCTTATGGAGCTCACATTTTTAGTGGGAGAAACAGACAGAAATAAATTATAGACTATGTGAGAATGTCGTAAGTTTTATTGAAAAAAGCAAAGCAGAGCATGCTAAAGCAGGTCAGGAGAGTGTGGAGGAGGTGGGTGTTTCCATTTAAATAGGATGGACAGAGTAGGTCTCCCTGAGCAAGAACTTGAAAGGGGGAGGAGTGATGGAGGAAAGCATATGGATAACAGAAAAGAGCATTCCAGGCAAAGGGAAGAGACAGTATATGTGGCTTATTGCCTTATGGGGAACAGTGAGGTGGTTGCTGTGACTAGAGCTGAGTGAATGAAAGGAACTGTAGTAGGAGATGAGGTCAGAGGGATATGAAGAGTATGGAGCTCCATAGGGCCTTGCAGGCTATTGTAACGATTTTGACTTTCACTGGGAGTGAAAATAGGGTGCCATTGAAAAGTTTTGAGCAGAGGAGTGACATGATCTGACTTGGGTTTTTTTTTTTTTTTTTCTGACTAAAGTCCATGGTTTATTCAGATTTCTTTAGCTTTTTCTTTTCTTTTTTTTTTTTTTTTTGACAGGAAAGTAGGATTTATTGGTGCACGTGAGTAAAGAGGGGACAGCCTCAAGGCTGTCATGAGTGCAGGGCCCGCCATGTGTCCAGGGGGCCACGATTAGGGATGTATTTGACCCCACAGCCATCCGGGAGGAGCCGCTTATCTGCCACCATGTTTTCAAATTCATCTGCATTAAACTTAGTAAATCCCCACTTCTTAGAGATGTGGATCTTCTGGCAGCCAGGGAACTTGAACTTGGCCCTGCACAGGGCCTCAAACACGTGCTCCTCGCTCTGCAGCTTGGTGCAGATGGACATTATGACATGGCCAATGTGGACCCTGGCCACTGTGCCCTGGGGCTTTCCAAAGGCACCGCGTATACCTGTCTGGAGCCTAGATTGGGGGCAGCATGCCAGTCACGAATGTCCACTTAAAGGGCTGTCTCCAGGGTCCCTTAGGGCAACTCATACAGGCAACAGGCTGCATACACTACTGAGGAGGCTGCTGTTTGCAGCCATTGCACACCTGGCCCCCACGGGGAAAAGAGCATAGTTGGTTTAATTGGCTGCAAACTGACTTGGGTTTTAATACTGTCACTTCCTCAGTGTGTTCAGAATGAACTATAGCAGGGTAAAGGTGGAAAAAGGGAGATAGGTTAGGAGGTTCTTACAGAAATCTAGGGAAGAGGTGATGTGATGGTGACTTGAACCAGATCTTTACTTGAAGAAGATGACTTTGGCAATGAGGAGAGAATGGTGGCAGAGGTAATTATTAGGAGGCTACTGCCAGTGATTAGACTCTAAACTGGAATGGTTTGTGCGGAAATGAAGAAGAAACTGCAGAAAGATCACCGTGGAACTTGACAACTGTTTTGGCTGTAGGGATTGAAGAGAGGGAGGAGACCAAGGTGACATGGAAGTCTTAAAATTGGATGGTAACCATTACCATAAACATGACCCTTGTTTTGTAAGTCTGTCCTAACCCTCTGTGACAACCCTTGGTGCTCATGTAGTGTTTCCACTGGGTTATTAATTATATACCCACTTTTTCCTACTCTATTTTCCCTCCTGTTACCCACCTAGAGAGCTGAGAGAACAGCTCTGATTCTTACAATTGTGGCAGTAGTAAGATATAATTAGGAATGAAGAATTATGAAAGACCAAAGAATCTAAATTTGTATATAGTTTGTATATGAAGAATAACCAGCCACTGGAAGAACATTAGTGTATACTGGTCAAAATGAATTTAGCAGGTGACACATAAGACGTGTTAGAGAAGGACTTTGGTTGCCAGGGGAATGGTCTTTTGGATGATGCTTGACCCCCTGGTAATGATGGCAAAAGGCAGTTACCCAAAGGAAGATGAAACTGATGGGGCTTGGGGCAAATCTGTGAATTTGAGGTTACCATGAACTGTTTCAATTCAGTAGTTCAACCCTAATATCCTACAGCCTAATTATACCACCTGAAGAGGCCATATGTTGACTAAGAGTTAGTATCTAGTGACAACCAGATCTGTGGTCCGTGGGTGAGTCACTTAGCCTCTTCAAGCTTCAGTTTCACCATTTGTAAATTGAGAGGTTTTGACCAGATTATATCAAATTTCATCCAATTTAATAGTGTCTAACTCCATACTGTGGGATTTAATATGGACAAAAATATGTTAATTTCAAAAAAAAAAAAAGAGTGGAGGTGGGAGAAGAGGAGAAAACTCAAGTCTCTTCCCATAAGACAAGGTGGAACTATTGCTAGCAATGCTTTTTGTGTTGTTGTTGTTTCTGTCCCCCATGATTAAACTATCAACATATATTCAATTGAGATACAGACTTAAGGCATTTGAGACATATGTGTACCTTAACTTAGAGAATTTGACTAAAATCTTATTTTCCCCGAATTTACGTATTCACTTTGAAGATTTATATGTTTCTTGTAACCTCAAAGGATGGGAAGAAAAGAAAAGCAGGGGTTGCTTGAAGAACTGTATAATCTGTCTAATAAATAACACAGGTGGACAGGTACATATCTGGATGGTAGCAGGATAGTTGAGGCACTTTTGAGACTTTGACATTTCTCACTCTGATTTTACATGACAGGAAATCATGAAGCTTGTCACTGTGCATAGAACAGTTTTCTGTACCCCACAGGGAAAATTAAAGAGAAAATACCAGGTAGAGGTAGTCCTAGGGTGAACTGATCTCTCTTAAAAAGACTTCAGTTCTGATATAAGTAATCCCCCTTCTTTTCTTTTTTCTAGGCAGTAAAGATTGATTGGGGTTTGTGTCAGCAGGATGTGATGAAGACATAGTACAGAGATGTAGAAGTGTAGATCCCTGAGGGAATAGATGTATTAAAAGTAGAAAAAGAACTACACATATAATAATATATTTGTCCCAACTGCTGGAGGGGAGGATGATCTTTAACAGCATTTAGTTGGTGATATCTGAAGACAGTTTTATGAGATCCTGTGACGAAATAATTCTCACTTAAAACTCTTAATGGAATTCTCCCCACCAGTGATACGACCATATTTTTCTTAGTTAAAAGGGATGTGAGCATGCATGATGTACATCATTCAGCTTCTGTTTTGTTGTAGGAAATAAATATACAGGTTGTGGCAGAAGGGTTAATTTCAGTTCCTAACAGGCGATTTAAAAAAATATGGTTCTTTCCTAATCACATCTCTTAACTAGCACTACACCATATTTCAACATATTTATAATATAATAATAACTGCTTTTGTGCTGATTGTATGTTATTGTAAGATCTTGAAGTATCTTCTGAATCCTGGAAGATTACTAAATTGTTAGCTGTTACTTTGCTTACTTTAATATTGCTTTATTACTCCAGTGTTGTTTGTACTCTATGTGGTAGTTTTTATTAACCACTGTATTTTATTAACTAGAGTATACCATTTCCAATGATTCTCAACATTAGAAGTAGAAAACCACATGCAAAAAAAAAAAGAAAGTGTTGGAGTTTTTGAGAAATGGGCATATATTAACAGAAGCAGTAAGTTCAATGTTATCTAGAATATTTATAAAGGTGTTCGTTAGATTATCTATCAGATGCAACTGAGTTCTGGACTGAGCTGTTTCATTATATGTCATTACTATTAAATGTGACATTTTTCCTGTTGTTCATGTTTTTAAAAGTTTTATGTATCTCAAAAATATGATTATTCATTCTAAAACTTTGAAAAATCTTGAAAGGGCTTATGACTTTTTTATATATGTTCTCACGTTTGAGCACTGTGGTAGTGATGTCTGTTCCAAATCTGACTTTGGGAACTTGGGAGTCATCTTCAAAAACGAAGAGACACCCCCTTCACCAAACCTTCATTTTTAATCCTTAATAAGTTGTTTTTTTCTTTTGTAAAGAATGTGTTTATAGATTTAAAGTTTCTAATTCTCTTTGAAGAATTATAGTTGATAAAATAAAAAATGAGAATCATTCAGTTATTTTCTTGTTTGATCTATGAATTTCTCTTATCTGACAGGTATTTTTTTTCCTTTTTGGTTTTAATAGAACATTCAAATAAAAACTTTGGCAGATGATGTGGTAAGGTGGACTTAGTAGCATGTTATTACTTATGCATGTTGCCTTTTTATTAAAGTGGGTGGACATTAAAGCATTGATATATGTAAAGATATAAAAAGTCTAGATGTTTACAAAGTACAGTAGATGGAAGAATTGTCAATAGAGTGGCTTTTCTTTTTTTTGATATAAACATAAGCAATTGTATGTGTTCTCAAAATAATTTTGATATTACCATCCTGATATATACCTTAGCCAATTAAAAAAAATCAGTATAAATCTAACTCTGGAAAACACAAATGTTTCCTTTCTCAATAGCCATGTAAATTGACTCTGAATATGTTAAGCATTAATATTAACAGTAAAGGAAATTAATTTAAAATGGAAAGGAAGTTAAGTTCATTATGTTAGAAATGTGGTATTACATTTAAAATCCTCAAATATTTTTGATCTGAGTCTATCATAGTAAAACTTATTAAAAGTTTTGGGCTTAAAATTTAAATGTGCCCTTTTATAGCTAAGCTTTTAAAATGTGGTATTTTAAGTATTTTTTCTTTGTGAAATTACCTGTCTACAAATAATGTAGAATATTGTTCATGATTTAAGGAAGTGAAAGTATGTGGCTTAACTTTATTTTCTTATCAAGATATAGCTGAAAGCAAAAGCCAGTTTTCTAGATCGAAGTGAAGAGCATAGTGGAAGATCAAATATATATGTAAATAATGCTACTCAGTAAAAAAGCCAGCACTGCAAAAGTAAATATTAAGTGATATGAAGGGAAAGGAACAGAGATATGTTGATTTAATGGTCGATTGCATATTTAAATGCTTTTGTGTCCACCATATCTTTTAGTGAAATTTGACTCTTGGTTATGTACTCAGCTTATTTGGGATTGCGTAATGTTTTTTCTTGAGTTGTTTGAGTTATATTACATATCTAATCTAACTTAATTTTCCTCAAAGACATTCACATTTAAAAGAAAATATGAAAATATAGAAGGTGATTCGAAGAAATGAATCTTTATGTGAACACTGGGCTAGGAACCAGGGACTCGTGAATTTAGCGAGTCACTTTTCTGTGAAATGAGAGAGTCGGCCTAGATGATTTTTCAAGTTTCTTCCCAGCTCTAAAATATTATGATTTACATAATCTCTTTGTAAGCAACCATGTACTAAGATCATTTTTGGAATCCTAAATAAGCTGCTTAAAACTGCTCATATTTCTTTCAAAGTACACCTTTTAGAAAAAAAAGGGTTTTTTGAATCAAAAAAAAGTATGTTCTTTTAATGGGGGTCAACAGAAGTCGACATAATTGTGGTAAGAACTTCTGTGATGCTTTTTATACTGTTGAAGTGATTTATAAGGACTTGGTAATGTGGCAGTGACGAGGCACTGTCCTGATATCTAACATATCTTCTGCTTGTTTAACGTGAGCTGACAGTATGCATGCATGTGCTTCCTAACAGAAACCAGAATAAAACTGAGTTGTATTCAGTTTTATGGTTATTACTAATTTTTGATGTCCAGTGTTCTGTGGTTTAAAACAGAATGGCCTATTTACATGCAAGTGGAGTTGTTAACTCACTTTATGTGAAATCGCAAGCTAATTATTAGAGATTGTACGTGGAATCAATGGTTCCAAGTCAATATCCGTAAAATAGCAAGTTCTTCATAGTAGTATTTGTAGGAATAAGATATTTCTGTTGATGTTATATTTCCAGGGCAAAAAGGTAATGTTTTTAATTTTGCTGTGCTTCCTTGTTGGTCCCACTTTTTAGGGAAGAAAAAGGTGTGTGTAATAATAATAATAGTAATAGTAACAACAATAGTAATAAATTGTAGCTAAGTACACTAAACATATAACTTATTTAAATCTCACAATAACTGTTTCTTTCTTGCTTTCTCTGTCTCCCCTTCCTCCTTCCCTCCCTTCCTTCCTTCCCTCCTTCCTTCCTCCTACATACATTAACTTGTTATCCCTATTTTAGAGATGAGGAAACAGTCATAGAGAGACCAAGTAATTTGCACAGGGTAACTGACCTAGTAAATTGCAGATTCAAATCTAGGTAGTCTGGCTCCAGAGTCCATGCTCTTAACCATTGTATTCTACTACTACACTGCCAAAGTATTCATAGATACTTGTCACAATTATTTTGGCGCTTTAAAGAAGAGAAACATTACTATAATTTCCCCCTTAGAATTGGATATTCTTTTCTTTTCTTTGTTTTTTTTTCCCTCATAGTTTGAAAGTTGCCGCCAAAGACACGTTCTCTCTCAAACCACCACACGACTTTGAGGCCGGACTTTTCTGACCTAGTTAACTGTGCAGAACAGAAATGACAAGGGACTAAGTTTTATTTATTTATTTTTTTGCGGTACGGGCCTCTCACTGTTGTGGCCTCTCCTGTTGCGGAGCACAGGCTCCGGACACGCAGGCTCAGCGGCCATGGCTCATGGGCTCAGCCGCTCCGTGGCACGTGGGACCTTCCCGGACCGGGGCACGAACCTGCGTCCCCTGCATCGGCAGGTGGACTCTCAACCACTGCGCCACCAGGGAAGCCCTAAGTTTTACTTTTGAGGAATACTTTTCACTCCCTAGATTTCTGTGGCTGCAGAGCTACTTCAAGGTTTCAAAATAGTACAATCTCTAACTGGAGCTTACTGCTTAAAATAACATTTTGTCAAAAGACAATAATGATTCCTAAGTGCTATTTTGATGTTTCAGTTCTTCATGTTTGTTCGTGATTCTTGATCTCTTCCTTAGGGCTTCTTGTTTTTTTCTGTTTGCAGCGTGACCGAATTACAAGTTTTAGAAAATCTACTGTCAAAAAAGAAAAACCTCTTATCCAACATCCTATTGATTCTCAAGTTGCGATGAGTGAGTTTCCAGCGGCTCAGCCATTATATGATGAACGATCTTTGAATTTGTCCGAAAAGGAAGTACTGGATCTTTTTGAAAAAATGATGGTAAGTTAGACCCCCTGATTCTGTTGTAATTTTAAAATGCATGTGCCCAGAATAGCACTGGGTTCTCAGTAGGGCTGTTTGTATGGACTGTGTTTATATCACATAAAGGAGAGACCAGAAACTTGTTGATACAACAGAACTGTTTTCGAAAGCATCTGTCTTTTTGAGCTATAATATGTCTGTCTCTTCCACTATGAGCTCCTAAAAGGGGGGGCTGTCTTACCTATTTTTGTTCTCTAGTATTCAGTAGTCTGTAGCACAGTGAATCAATTTTTTAACTACCTAACTTGTGTTTCTGTTTCTATAAAGCAAAACAGGCCTAAGTCCACTTTTCTGAAAACAATATAAGGTATCTTGTTAGGTATATGAAATAGAGTTGGGAGGACAGAGTGTAACAAAACAAAACAAAACAAAACAGTGGAGGGGACAGAAGAATGAATTCCTCCAAGTTTGTTCTATTATCAACAGTTATACCATCTATATTTTCTAGCATACTTCTTACATTTTATAGCTTGTGATCTAGATTATTTCTTATATTAGATAACAAATATAATACTTTGATTATTCAGCAGTTTATACCAAGAGAGGGGAGAGATGAGGCATTGGGCCATCTTGGATTTGTTTCCTTGACCAGAGAAGTGGAGATCCTGATTCGTGATTCATTAATTTCTAATTCTGTCCCACTTATCATGGCAAATTTTTTTTTTGTGAATCTCTATTCATTTTGAGTTAAGGTCCACAAGAGTTTCAAAGGTCTCCTTACCCATACCAAAAGAAGAGGTTAAGAATACTGGAAATCTAGACCCTTCTACTCTGCCCATTATGGAACATCTTGTTACCACCCCGCCCCCAACCCCACTAGTAATTGAAAATTGTTGAATGAATACAAATTCCCTTTATCTTTAAACTTTTCCTTTAATGTTCCTTCTGTCTAGTCAGAGCTGACATCCAGCTTTTCCCTTGTCACAAGTCCTGACATTCCCACTCTCTTCAGCCTTTCCTCCTAGTCCTATGGTACACCCTCTTTCTGGCTGCTCCTTCTATGTCAAATTCTTTGAATCATCTTTCAACAACCCTTTCTCTTGTAAAGTTTATTATCTGCTGACCAGCCATGATGATGATAGCATCTGGCTATCCTTTTGACCCTTCCCTTGCTATTCGTTTTGGTGATTTCAGCTATTACATTGTTAACCTTGCCATCACATTGTTGCCCTTAGTTCCTTGGTTTCCTGAACTCTGACCTTTGCATCCATGTATTTAGCTAATTATAGACATGACTACACCTTGGACTGTGTCACTCTTTGGAATGATTCCACCTCTGAGATCTTTAGCTCTGAAACTCTTCTCGGAAGCTAAACAACCTATATTACCTTTTCCAGGCCCTTAATTTTACAGGGCATGTTTGTGTAGTGGTTAAGAGCTTGGACTTTGGGGTCATTCAGCCTTGAGGCTGAGTTCTGCCTCTGCCATTAATCACATTACCCTGTGAAGGTGATACATCCTCTCTACACTTTATTTTCCATAACTGTAACAAAGCTATAAGAGGGTCTACCTCATATGGTTATTTTTAGGATTAGAGGAGATGATATTCCTAGAATAGTGCCTGGCATAAAACTTTCTATAAAAATAATTTTATAAATGCTTGTTGCATTTCCTTCCTTTAGCAAATAAAGCTCCGTTCTTTCTTCAGTTTCCCCTCAATTTGCAATTCGGTTGTCTTATCTTAATCACCCCCAACCAACAACAACAGAAACAAACATTCTTTGACATTAATCAAACTTTTAAATCTTATTTTAAACTCTTCTTCTCTTTACTCAAACTTCACTCAAATGATACTTACTCCTTTAATCAGCTAACCAATCGGTTGCTAATTTTTGCAGTAGTGAAATAGTTCTTTTAGTTTATCAGTGGCATTGCCACCCTCCAGTTCACTTTAGCTCAACACTTACGGGCCTTCTTCCACACCATTCATTTTCTCAGTCACTTCTAATTGCTTTCCAAATCCCATTGGTTCTGCTTTTGCAATGACTTTTACGTCTGTTTCCTCAGTTGTCCTCCAGATGCTTTTTCCCTGCTTTAGGCAGTATCCCTCTCTGGCTTTTTCTCGTGGGCTACGAAAGTATCCTCCTATCTGGTCTTCCTCCTGTCCTCCAGGTTTTGCCTGTTCTAATCCAGTGGTACTCTATTCATGATTCTGAAACAGATTCCTTTTCCAAAGCCCCAAGTAGGCCCTTCTGTTTTCACACAGTCATCTTCTATGTCCCTACTCCATTCCCTCCACTGTGCTTCTAGATGAATATTTCACACCTTTACTTTGCTGCTCAATCCTCAGAACTCTTACCCATCTTTATGCTCTGCTGATGAGCTTACTGTGTAATTTACTGAGTAAACTGAAATGATCAGAAGAGAACTTCCACACTCTCACCACCACATCTACCTAAGTTTGAGTATCTGCAGTCTTGTTACCTATCACCACCATAGATGAAGTTTTCATCTTCCAGTCCTTGCATTTGTGTACAAGGTTCCATTCCTTTAGACCTACTTACTCAAGGACATTGCTCCAATCATTTTCTCCTCTCTCTTCTGCCCTTCCCAGCAGCATACAAATGTGCTATCTCACTTTACAACTTTTTCATGACCTTATCTCCCTTGCCTGTTACCACTGTATTTTTACTCTCCTTTGAAGGAAGACACCTCCTAATAATTTTGTTTATATTCACTGCTTCTCATTTCTCTCATCTTACTTTCTGTCTTAAACTCACTCTAGCCAGGCTTCCATCACACCATTCCATCAAAATGGCTCTTATCAGTGTCACCAGAGATCTTTATGCTGCTGAGTCCCACGTTCAGTTTTCAGTTCTCATCTTAACTGACCTATCAGCCGCAGGTGATGCATTTGGTCATAAATCGCCCCCTGCTCCCCCTTTATTTGGTTTTCCTTCTATCTCTTTGGCTGCTGCTTTTTAATCTTCTTTGCGGATTCCTTTTCATGTCCTCAACCTTTAAATGTTGGAGAGGCCCAGGGATCCATCCTTGGACATGTTCTCTTCTCTATCTACACTATCTTCTTTTGTGATTGCAATCAGTACTGTGGCTTTACATTCCACTGTTATTCTCACAATTCTCAAATTTATCTACAGCTTAGTCCTCGTGTCTGAACTCTAGACTCTCATAATCAAACTTCATAATTGACATCTCTCTCTGATTGGTCAGTAGACTTCTCAAAAGTAACATATCCAAAACCAAACTGTTCATATTTCCCTCCAAACCTGCTCCTCCCAGTGTCTTCCCCTTCTCAGTTGATGGTATATCCATCTGTCCAGTTACTCAGGCCTAAAACTTTGGAATTGTCTTTGTCTACTCTCTCTTTCTCACATTCCACATTCAGTTGACTAGGAAACCCATGCACTCTTCCTTCAAAGTACGGTACTTACAAGAGCTGACCATTTCTTACCGCCTTCACTGGTCCCATACTGGTTGAAGCCTCACCTAGGCTGCTATAATAGTGGTAGAACTATTAGGATTAACACAGTTCCTCATTGGTCTCCCTGCTTCCACCATGACCCTCTGCAGTATATTCTCAACACAGAAACATTACCCTTTTAAAACCTGAACAATGTCATGTCACTTGGGTTCTCAAATCTCTACTATGGCTTCTTGTTTCCCTCAGGGTACAAAAGCCAGTATTCTTATAAGAGCCTGTAAGGCCCTGTATAATCTGATCCCCACTTTACCTCTTCAATATCTTCCTCTACTACCCTCTTTATTTGCTTCAGTGACACACACATGCCTTTTACATGATGATAGCTGTAAGCAAAAATGATTCCTGGCACTTATAAATTTTTTCAATTTGTGTACAGCATTTACTATGTTTTCAAACCTTTTACAATGTTTCCGTTTTGTGGTTTGAATTTTAATTCTAATGTTTCATCAACACATTACCACTTTCCTCTTTAAATATGTTATGTTTTTAAAAAGATTTGCTTGTGGATTCATAAATGTGACTTAAAGAAAGGTACAACTTGGTGCCACATTTTCCCTAATGAGAATTTTTCCTTCCATGGGAATGTTGGAAAAGGAAATAAGACAATTAAGATTTGCTTGAAAGTAACAACAAAAGATCAATAAAAAACTTTTTAAGGGTTGTATCTCTTCTTTGAGAGAAGTCTGCTTGTACATTGAACATTTTGCATTTTCTTTATTATCTTCAGTTTGTCTGTAATCAGGTTAAGTGAACAAGTTATTTTACGAATTTTCACAGCTTTCATTTACTGTGCACCCTTGGGCCCAGCATGTAACTGAACAGTTTACATGTATTATTTCAGCTGATCTTTGTGACAGTGCTGCAAAGTAGGCAACATAGTTATACTCCATTTTTCAGATAAGGAAATTAAAACTTAGAGAGAGGCTAAAGAAATTGGTTCTGTAACTTGCCTTAGCTAATACGGGGCTGAGCTCAAACTTAAATTTAGGTACATAAAAATCTAAAAAATATTGGCATTTTAGTAGTCTCTATCTTTAATAATATTTCATTTAAGCTAAATGTAAAATTAATACACTTTCTTTACACGCGTACTAAGTGGAAGTAGAAGGCAACTCTGAGATACATTGCCTCGCAGGTAAAGCGAGACGGATGGATTGTTTCCTATTGATGACAGAAGGTTGTCTTTTTCCAGAGCATCGATTGAAAAGAAAGAGGCCCACAATTTAGTTTTGGAAAACTGTTAAAATGCCATCTTCAAAGTTGATAGGGAGAAGACACTTAAGTTGTCAGAAGTAGATTTCCAGATATGAAATTTCCCTTTTTTATTTCATTCTTTGTAGGTGTCCTTCCATGTACAAATAATGTAATAGATGTACTTGTCCTACTTGGTGGCTATTATGACAATCTTGTCTCTCTTGATTCTCATCCTTCATTGTGCTATTCCTGTTTTCAGACTTTTTACACTTTAGAGTATTACAAATGTTTAGACCATTGGGCCTAAACACCTTGTATGTGT